AGGGATGATACTTGTGCTGATGCTGGTCGGCTAATTGCTTTGGGGCGTCCGGGACAAGCCTTGAAGCGTTTGACCTCACCTGGCTTAGCCCGAGATACTCCAGAAGTCCGTGCTAAGTTAATGGCTAAATTTCCGCCAGCCCCCTGCCGCCAACGCCCGAAATCCCGGGCCCCACCTGATTGAAGACCCTTCGATCTTTTCCAGTTGGTTCGTCGGGACCAGGGCCTGATGGATTGAGGCCGGATTTCTTGAAGGGATCGGGGGAGGATTCGTCATTTGTGCCGTTGCTGGCCGAATTTATTCAGAAAATTGCTGATGATCAAATCCCCCACACTTTATGGCCTTGGCTTGTTGGAGGTACTCTGGTCGGCGTGGGCAAGGCTGCGAAGGATGGGAGTCCTATGCCGCTTGACCGTGACGCCCGTCCGATCGTTATGGGATAGGTGTTTCGGAAATTGGTCGGCAAGTGCTTGTATCGAATGGATTTGACTAGCATGCGACAGAGGTTGTTGCCTACTCAACTTGCGGTTGGGCTTTCCAATAGTGTCGAGACTTTGGCTCATACGTATCGAGAGTGGATTGGGCGTAACCGGGATCGCGAAGATGTCGTCCTTCTTCAGAAGGATATCAAAAATGCATTTAATGAGTTATTACCGGGTACAGTTCATCCAGGATGCTCGGCAATTTGCGCCGGTTTCGGCCAGATTCGTGGAGTGGAGCTATGGGGCCGACTCGTACTTAAAATACCGGGGTCGTTTGGAGAGTAGCTCGAGAGGCCAACAAAGATGCCCCTTGATGATGGCATTGTTTTGTCTCACGCGTAAATGTATAGCCGAGGCTGCGCGTATTGCGGCGGGAGTTCATCCAGAATTCGAAGTGGCAATGGCACAACAAGCCACTAGCTTCTCTTTCATTTGCTTGGGCGCACATGCCGCTTGGACGATAGAATGAGAGGGTGTATAGCACAGATATCCATTAAAGATTTTTTTTGTATCTTCGGTATGGATGTAAGTGGCATCTGCACCCAAAAGCATCAATTAGAATCTCATAGAGATTCGTAGATTCTGGAAGAAAAGAATCATAATATTAAGAGAGTACGACGACTTCTACGTCCGAGTATCCCAGAACCAATAACGAGGCCAAACATCCAAGATTTCGTACTCTCCAAGACACCTCGATGTGCACAAAAGCCCGCCACCACCCCCAATTAAAGAGGCGTCTCAGAAAGACGAAAAGTAGAAAAAGATAACGAAGGTTCCACAAAGTGAAACATAATAAGGGTGAAAACCAATTTATATATAATATATCATATTTCCGTCCCCTCGCCACGCGATGCCTTCGTTGCATGATATTTTCATTTCGTCCAACTATACGAAAGAGCAATTGCCGGCCGAATCTTGGCCTTTGTTGTGTGAGGAATACGGTAAGTTGATGACGACGATTATGAAGATATGAGTCGAAAATATTCCCAGCACTACTCCTCCACAAAACCCTCCCAAGAGAATTCCAAGACGAAAATAGAATTAGAAACCTTTTCCTTATTAATAGAGATCTTTCAGAAAATTCCATTTAATTCGCAATTTTTGATCATAAATTTCGTAAGATCCTATAATAAGAATTTCCAGTCATAAATAAAAAATCATTCTGATATCCAATCCTATAATGAATATCTTCCTAGTATCATCCTATCCGTTTATCTCCCATATTTTGTCGACAACATTTCTATTAAATCCAATGCCTAGAATACGCTACATAGGCTATGAGAATTATAGATATAATCCAGTTCCGAATCAATTCGTTGAGTTTTATTATGAGGCTCCCAGTCGTCTCGTTTAAAAGAGACGGTTCACATAATGAATTCGGGTCAGCAAGGATGTCCTCTTCGGACCGTAAACGGATGTATGAATCAACCTGTTATTTCTAACAATTAGTTTGACACAACAAAATGACGTATCACTTGAGCAGTGTCTATGGCAGTCCATTTTCTTCCTCATTGACTCCCTGCCGGCGTATCAATTCTTGTGAGACGCAGTTGCGCCTTATGAATGCTGGCAGAGACAACCTTCGAGGATTGTTTTGATGCTGATAGCACACACTTATTGTCGAACTTGTTGCGCATCCACATTTTAGAATCTTGAGCCGCGGAAGCGGAATTGCGCCTTAGAGCGTTAATTACACAAGACGAGACGGGATGACTTGTCGGTGAGAAGGTGGAAGACGGAGCAGGCATGGGAAGTGCCACAAGCCGCTGCTGAGTGCATCCAGGCGAGCGCCGCCAAGGACGAAAGTGCACCAGCGGCGTTTCTGTCAGTGAGCTACATGTCGTGTTCATGGGGCGTCTCTGTGTGCTTGCTTCCTTGCGGCCCACCGAACCGCTTTCTTCCTCCGGTCACCAAGCGCCTGAGCTGCGCTCCAGCCGTTCCTCCAGCTTGTGCTGAGCAGCCTGTGGATGCTGCAGCAGCGCCCGCGTGGCCCGTGTGGCCCTCATGGCCCGCGGCGCCCTTCGCAAGGCAAGGGCTCCCAGGCATCTCCAGGCTTCCGCGAACGCAGGGGACACCGGGCACATGAGGTTGGGGCAGTTGGGGCACAGGGGCCAAGGATGCCACATCGGCACGTACAAGTAGCTGTATCTTGGGCCGAAGCTTCCGGAAGCTTCGCTTCGGTGTTGGTGCGCGACTGCAGACTGCATCTCGGTGAGGGCTTGTGCAATCCGGCCATCGTCTGCCAGCTGATGGAACACAGCACCATGCCGGGCGGCTCCGTCTAGCCCTAGGATCAGAAGGGGCACAGACGCAGACAACCAAGGCATGCAATGGCAAAAGCTGGTGGCGTGGTCCTTCCGGATTGCATCCTCACTTGACTCATGACATCCCGACCGAAATTACCCCCGCAAATCCCCAGAGAGCGTGTGCACTTCGGTGCTGTGCGGTGTCGCTGTCCCCCTGCATTGAGATCGCCATGTGTAGGCATCAGGAGCTGTCCTCTGGTGAGGTGGAATCGGCGGTGGGGTATGGCATTCCCCTCACGAACACGTCCGAAACTTCGTGGAATGCTTTGCTTTGACCGGCGGCCAACTGCGTGCCTGAACACGCGTACAGGCGCAGTCAGGTGGCGCAGAGATGCGCAGAGAAGGGAATGCGGAAGCGACAGCTGCTTGCTTACGACGCCGTGCCATCATCATGCTGGCAGGTGCACGTTGGCGTGGCGGCGAGACATTGCGTATGCGAAGCAATGCGTATGGGAAGCGGGACCGTTGTGAGGCAGCAAGGGCGCTGACCAAGTAGCCTGACTGCAGGTTCCTTGGCTTCAGCGTGAGCGGAAGTGAACCGCGAAGCTGGCAGATCGTGTCTCTCCATGCACGCTTTTTGACCTCACTTTCTTACTTACAGCGGCCCGGGAAGGTCGGTATACGGGGGGACACGTGAAACCGTGAAACCCCAATGAACGCAAAGGACTCAAGAAGCTGATGAAGCCGACCGCGGGATCCCATGGCCCCAATGAACATATAGATGCTCAACGACGCGAGCTTTGAGGAGGCCCTTCAATCGGCAAGCTACCACATGCCCAGTCCGCAGAGTGGCGACAGGCACGCCAAGCACCGGCCGTTTCGCACGTGGAGCTCCCGGAACCTTGCGCTCAGGAAGAAGCAAGCACGGGCTTCTCGGCCGGGATTTAACCGAGTCGCCCTGGAGCCGTCACTGTAAATATGCCCCACTGCTTGGGTCCGACCGGAGCGTCTCAGTCTCATCAGAAGCAACCGGAGGAGCCGGAACGGAAGCTGCTCCACATTCAGATGGACTAGTTGAGTACTAGCTCAAACGAATTAGTGACAAGTGTAGCCTCCACTTTTCAGGGCCTGACTCTTGAACTTCCTCAGATAAGGGGCGGATAAGTCACGCAGTAGTTGGTGCTGCAGTTCAGGGTAGGCTTCATGTCAAGCTGCGCCGTGTATTCTACGACAAGCATGCACCGGGGGGCACCTCCGCGGCCACAGGCACCGCTTGTGGCACCTGTATCTTCGCTGCATACCTACTGTAGCCTTCCTTTGAGGCGCAAAACGGTGCGTTGTGTTGCCTGGTGTTGAAGGTGTTGAAGCCTCCGATAGCCTGCGGGAAGGGGGAGGTGAATCCTATGCTGCCTATGCTCATGCAACGCGGCCCTTGCCCAGTGGCACGGAGGCCCGCGGACGCTCCCAGCTAGGGATGCTGAAGGGAGGTGCCAGCAGTGGAGGCAGCATAGCGGTTGTGGAGTCGCACAAAAGCTGCACTGCTTCTATAAGGGCGGTTGACAGCAGAGCGCTTCTGCGCTGCTCGCTTTACATGTCGGACGGATGCGGCACCGCATGCTGCAGTGCACGCTAAGGCTGAACCCTTGCGGCTCTTGGAAGCATCCGTGTTACCATGCTTCTGTTGAGCGTTCATGCGCACCGGCTCGCGAGACACTGGCATGCAACTGGCGCCATCTTTGACACCTGACGGCAATCTGAAGACCGAGAAGGGTTGATCGGCATCCATGCCGGTACGCCAATCAAATCACACCAGCTTCCTTGTGAGCGAACACTGTGTTGCAAAGCTCGAGACCCACTGGATCGAACGAAGATGTGGCCTTGGACTTGTGACGGGCCCGAATTCTGAAGGGCACGTGCTTTCGGCGCGCCACTAGAGCTTACGAGACCCAAGCGGAGGCCACGCAGGTGCGTCAGGAAACGCAGCCGGCGCAGTGGTCTGTCTGTCAGGTCAGAAAGCCTTGGACACTGGTGGGCAAATGTGCGATGTGAAGGACCAGCATACATGCTGGACAGCTCAACAACCCGGGAGGGATCGGGAGGGTAGGGGCAATGATGGGCAAGGGCCTGCTCAGAGGCTCCGAGGGCCACAAGCAACTGACGCGGCCCGCTCTGACTGGAACCTCTATGCATCATCCCTCCTAGGCCCCTCCTACACCTAGTAGCAGAGGGGGCTGTTCAGTGTTGGGCAGGTTTTCTGGGCGCGGGAATGCCTATAATGCCCTAACACTACCCTGGACCTGGGGCCCACTGCCCACAGGATACTTGGGAGGCGTGTTAAGGCACAAGTGCGAAAAGGCACAACGCTGCCTTGCCGCGCGGCGTCATGAAAAGGCACTCCATGTGACAAAAGGCACAACACTGAATGCAAAACCCCAAGTCCGCGCAGGTTCGAGGCAAGCAGTCAGGAATGCGAAGCTTCGTGCGTGCCTGAGCGTGCCTGCATGTGCCTGTGGCCTGGACGGAAGTCCCACCAATGCAGGTAGGAGGGGACTTTTCACTGAGTGTCGGGGGCGTTTTGCGGAGGGACTTGATCCACGCCGATCCGACCGAGACCGTCGTCCATCAGCAACCCGCACCCTACCACACACTCAATCCTCAAATCTGGCCTCTGCACGTCCAATCTGCACCTCGGCTTCCCAGGGCTCCGAAGGCCACATGACCCTTCACTCTTCCGTTTGTGCATCCCAACCTGCTGCGACACAACTTGGCGAATGAGTCAGATAGGAAGGGCACTTGCCTTCGGCGCGCCGCAGCAAGCCCTGAAGTTGAGTCTCCCCCAGCTGTGAAGGCCTTCGCCAGAGGGCACGCGGGTTTTGTCATGTCTTTTTTCGGACGACACACCTTAGCGCATGGCCCCAGTACCGGCATCGAGGGCATATGAAAACATGCTCTGGCTTCCGGAACGAATTTTCAAGGAAGCAGGACACGAATCCTGCAGTCGAAGAACGTCCGGCATGGTAGGTTGCGCTTGAGGGGGTGCTATGCATTAGGGGGGGCGTTAGGCTTTTCAATGCCTAGCGAACCCTCGCCCGGCCCCCGTTAGGCATTATCTGGGAGGGGTGATTCGGGATCATACGAGCACATACTGAAGCGCAAGGTTAATCGACAGTCAAGAGGCAAGGGCGTTGCACGGTTGCACTACCCTCATGCGCGACGTGCTAGTTTTGGATTCCGACTCACAGGATGCGCGGCACAGATCAGGCCGAAGGAGGCGGTCGGGAAGTGCCGGGCATCACGGGGGATCGAAGAGTCGAAGGACTTGTCACCGCAGTCACCGGCGAGCCGCCAAGGCCAGGTTTGCCACGGGTGCGGGTCTTGGCAGCTGGGTTCATTTTGGATCATTTGGGCGGCAACTTAGCACTCTGAGGGGAAGGGAACGCAAAACCTCCAAGGCCGCAACGACCGCAAGGACCTCAAGGGCCGGAGCTGTCGTGATCACCGGGCTATTGCCCTGAAGGGTTTTGGTGTGTCTGTGTGCAGGGCACACAAGAGAATCGAGAGGATGTCGCTAACGAGGGCGTGCTCTTCCCATCTTCCCAGGAGGCCTAGGTGTTTCTACTCTGCTTGTATTGTGCCAGTGTACCGCGAACTGCACGGCAGTACTAGTATGACTTCCAGCGACGCTTCCAGAAGCAGAGCGTGCCACCACACAGAAGAGAGTATCAATTGGCGTCGGCACTTGGAGCCTCTAGAGAATGTTCTGCCTGACGAGCTTCGAACAAGCCTCTACAATGGTCGAAAGAGAGACTTGGCAAGCTTGCAGGGCGCTTCAAGACCAGCAGGGAAGATTGCCCATTTTTCAACAACGGGCAGCAGCGGTGTCGAACTCAGGCATGAACTGCACCAGCCAACGTGACAGCTGCGCTCTCTGTGCAAGCTTTCAGTCGCGCTCGAGCCTCCCTCGCAAGCAAGAAGGTCCAGTCGTACATCCCTCTGAGCTCAATAAGGGAAGTCCTTGAAACATGCCGAAGACACTCTCGGACGAATGCAAAGAGCCAAAGTGGTCGCAGAATCGGGCTCATGCTGAACGAGCGAAGGTGACAGCTGCTCTCAGCGAATCTTTGAACACTCGAGCCTCCCCGCGGCACAAAAAGTCCCGAGTGTGAGTGTGTCACTATCTGTCGATGGTGAACCGAACGGGCTGTTCTCAGTCCTGGAAGCCACAGCTTGCGCGAGTTGGCGATGCGCCCCCGAAAAACTGCCGAGAAGCGGAGAAGCCCGACCGAGATCACGCACCACTCCGCTAAGCTCGGGTAAGACTGGCCACGCACCACGCTCCTGACTGCAAGACAGTTCGGTTGGGCCTCCTGCAGGCTCTATAGACCAGCAAGGAAGTGCATACACAAGGCATCCAGATTGGGGCTATGGTGCAAGCAGGCCCGTCGCACGAGGCTGCAGGTCCTGAGCAGCTCTCACATGAGAGGTCGGCGTGACACCAGCCAAGGTTGAGCTGCGTCTGCAAGGTGAGACCCCCATAAGACCAAGTACCGAGCAGCTATGCAAAAAGGATTCGAAGTCAACGCCGCATTCTAAGTTGCTGCGTAGACCACATGCGTTCGTAGCAACAGCACGCGCGAGATGTGCGCATTTAGACGCATGTGGATTAAGGTTGCTTGTGGCACGTTTGTGCGGGTTTGATGTTTTGAAGGGGCTGGGCTGGGTTTGACCATGTTGTGAGCAATGTGAACTCATAGCACGGTCAGCCTCTTCGTTAAATGGAAACGTGATTGCTGCCCGATTGCCTTGCTCGCCGACCATTTTTCAGGACGTTTCCGCAGGGCTAGAAAGAACATCGCAACCAGCAAGTAAGGTAGCGACTGCGGCAGTTGGGGCGCTTGGACAGGCATGGTAGGCAGTTGCTGAGACAAGCAAGGTGAGAAAACTGGGGAGCATCTGGCTCCCTGGCTGCTTGAGAAGCCTGAGAGGGAAAGCGTTTGCGGAGTCGGGCGTGGCCTGCGCGGCCAAACCGAGCAGGATAGCCAGCGGCTGTGGAGTTGGGCGTGCGCTGTGTGCGGAAAAGT